GGTGATTGAGTCTCTATGCCTAGGAGGGGACATTCTTACTAAGACTCCACCCGAGCTAAACCAGATGATCAGTACTTTGGCTGCCAGAGATCATTCTTGGGGACAGGGTAGCCGAGGCAGACAGTCCCGGGACCATGGTGTGCACGCCATGGAGACCAGATCCGGGCTCGAGCAGCAGGTAGCTGAACTAGTGCAGACATTGAAGCAGCCCAACAGTCTTATTCCAGGCAGAGGTTTGGCTACACCTCCAGTAGCTCAATGTTAGTGGTGCGAGAGCTCCAATCACCTAGTGGAGTACTGCCAGGCTATGAGGGAGTCTACCACTCCCCAAGAGCAGTTGGACTTCATCGCCAATGCTCGGCGCCTCGACCCGTACAGCAACACATATAATGAGGGGTGGCGCCAGCATCCCAACTTCGCCTGGAGCAGCAACACCACTAAACCACCTGGTTTCCCAGCACCAGCAGGTGGTTTTCAACAGAGGCAGCCCTTCCAGGCTCGACAGGGGCCAGCCCCACAGCAGCAGCCCTACCAGCTTAGGCAGGGGCAACCATTCCAGCAGTCCCAGCGCCAGTTTGCCGAGCCAGCAGCAGCTCCGGCCCCAGATGATCGGATGACAAAGCTGGAAAATATTCTAGCTTCATTCATGACTAGCACTCAGGCTGCTATCACGTCACTGGAGGCAGGTCAGCGGAACCAGTGTGCCATTTTGCAAGATCTGCAGACCCAGGTGGGCATCTTGGCCCGCCAAAACACTACCAGGGCACCGGGGACTCTGCCTGCCACCACTATCCCGAATCCTCGGGATCCTCACCAGCTCCAGCAGCTGGATGCCATTTTTACCAGGAGCGATAAACCATATCTGCTGATCCTGTCCCGGCTAGACAAGAGGAACCACGACCTGCTTCAGCACTTCCAGCCGACGATGCAGAAGTGCGGGTGGAGAAGGAAGCCCCTGCTCCCAAGCCACAACCAGTGGTTAAGGAGCATGTACCCCAGCTTCCCTTCCCCACTCGCCTACACAAAGACAAGTTGGAGACTGAGTTTGCCAAGTTTATGGCAATGTTGAAGCAGCTCAACATCAGCATACCGTTTTTGGAGGCACTGTCGAAGATGCCCAAGTATGCCAAGTTCATGAAAGATCTCCTCACCAACAAGAAGAAACTTGGGGATCTCTCGACAGTGTTGCTGAGCGAGGAGTGTTCTGCTATCCTGCAGAACAAGCTGCCCGAAAAGCGCAATGATCCAGGGAGTTTTACTATCCCTCTTACTATTGGCAGCATGCATGTAGGCAAGTCCTTGGCGGACCTAGGCGCTAGCATAAATGTCATGCCATATAAGTTGTATAAAAAGTTAGACCTAGGTGAACTTAGCCCTACTAGGATGAGCATTCAGCTGGCTGATCGTTCCATTGTGCATCCTAGGGGAATCATAGAGGATCTGCTTGTCAGTATCGGTGCATTCACATACCCTGTTGATTTTGTTATTCTTGATATACATGAGGATGTGGATGTACCTTTGATTCTGGGTAGACCATTTCTTGCCACCGCCAAGGCACTTATTGATGTGCATGATGGTAAACTGATCTTGCGTGCTGGGAATGAACAGGCTCCTCTCATTTTGCAGGACACCCTCCTATCACTCCTTCGCCGCCACTCCATCCAGCCACGCCTCCGAACAAAAAGCTCAAGGAGGAGTGGCGGCCGAAGCAGCAGGTTGCTAAGCCTGCACGAAAGAAGAGTGGAGACCACTATGAGATGGTCCCACCTCCTGCACCACGACCACCCTGGCCGTCCGGGTACTCACTCGCCTACATCTTACCGGATGGCCAGTTCGAGCTGACTGATGATGGTGGTCGCATCCGTCGGGTGCATGGCCACAACCTGAAGCTGTACCTCAAGAGCGACGTGGATCCGCTCTTGGAGGCACCTGTTCCTGCACCTCCCTGAGTATCCACCATGGGCGTCCAGCTAAAAGACGGTAAAGAAGCGCTTGTGGGGAGGCAACCCCACCACGGTTTGATTTTCTTTCTTGTGTTTTGAGTCGGATTGTAAACCAGTTGGTTTTGGTTTGTTTTCTTTTGTTTTGGATGATGTATTATTGGGCTGACCATTGGACCTAACATATTGTGTTTGAGCTCTTTGGTTTCCTTTTGTTGTGCTTGTCTTGAGTGGTCCTCTATCCAGTACGCTTCACTCCGACTGGTCCGCTTCCAGTCCCCTGCAGTTCGTGCATACCGGTAACATCGTTCCCCTTTTTCCTTCCCTCTTCTCCATTGAGGGCAATGTCGATCTTAAGTGTGGGGGGGATGTTTATCTTTTGACTGCATTGGGTCTGTTTGTGTGCTTGGAGCCTAGTCCACTGTCCAAATTTTTAAATTTGAGGGCTCCAAGTACGTGTTCCTTGCAATTGCCTGCTCAGTATGCTTTGAATTGACAGTCTTTATAGTAATATGCAACCTAGGGAGGTAGTGTAGCACTATGGAGGATGTTGATGCATTTAAGAAGTCTCATTGCTTCTTCATATTGTGTTGGTTGGTTGAGTGAATTAGTGATCTTAGGACCCTTGAATTGTGTGGTGTTGTGGATTCTCTACCTGTCATGGGCTCTTGTATCATGTTTTGAAAATAACAAGTGCTCGAAAATGTGCTTTGAAATAACGTCTCCCGTGCAAATAGGGCGAAAGTGTGTAAGGGGAGACGGGAATTCGTTCCCAATTTTCACCTACTACCTCCAGCCCCCTTACATGTCTTTCCCCCGCACGAGGCTCGAGACATCCGCTCCTGGCATGGCCGGTAAGAGCCGGGCTCCCGCAAAACCTCTGCTAGGTGGGAGCCCCCATTTTTTGAAAAGCAGGTTGGGACCCTTGAAAAAAAAAAAAACAGAAAACAAGCAAAACAGGAAGAAAAGGGGTTCCAACCATCCTTAAGAAGAAAATAGAGCACCTTGAAAAATGTGAGTCCATGATCCTTTGTTTTTGAGAATCTCTTCATCCACGATTCATTTGTTCCCTGTTCACTATTTGTCATGATGCCGACTGGATACTAGTGCTCTCGCCGAAGAAGCTATGATATGACTTGTGCGTCGGTTGACCTCGTAAGCTGCTAAATGGTCTAGGAAATCCTCTGCCTACGATCTGGGTTGCTTGTTGCTATACAGGTCTGGAGAGTTGCATTGGTTTGAGTTAGGTTTGCTTGGGGACAAGCAAACGGTTAAGTGTGGGGGAGTTTGATAGACCGATAATTACACATATTTTCACCCCTATTCTTGAGCCGTTTGAGAGGTTGACTCTCGTTTTTAAGCCGATTTCACGCGAGGTTGTGTGTTTATGTCGTATTTCAGGACCCGGCGTTGGAATCGACGCGAAGGAACGAGATTCGGGTCGAAAGGAGCAAGTGAGGATTGAAGTGGGCTGGAGGAAGAAAATACCCGGTCATGACCACAAATACCCGGCCGGGTATTATTCTGAGGAGACCGGGGATTTTCCCTTTTGGCGTCTGAGAAACAGGAGGGGTCCCGGTCTGGAAGGCAGAAATCCCCGACCGGGGATTATTGGAGGAGACAGGGTATTTTTCCCCTAGCCAAAACGCACGTTTCAACTATACCCGGTCGAGACCCAAAATACCCGACCGGGTATTTCGACCGGGTATCGCGACAGGCAGCAGTTTTAAGGGGAAAGAAGGCTGAAAATTAAGGGATTCGAGTTTGGAGAGAGATAGAGCGATTCCTAGAGAGAGAAAGCGACGAACAAGAGTCTCCAAGTGCCCTAGATTGATCTTCAACACCATTGGAGGCCAGTTTGAGTTTGGAGAAGTGCCGATCAACGTCCAGGAGCAGGAATCCATCCTTCACAGTATGAATTCCGCGTCTGATTCTGCTTTTGCTTCTTTCTCCATGGAGTAGTTCTCCCATTCATCTGGGTATGGAGAACCCTAGATTTGTATGTTAGGCTTTGATTGTATGAATCCAAGTACTGATTCTATGATTTGATTATATTCAATTGAGGTTTGATTGATTGAATGGCATGAATCCTGATCAAATTCCTATTGTTTCTGCTTTAACCTAGAATGAGAATATCTGCCTAGGTTGATAGAGCATCCTTGATTGAAGGTAGGGAGTTGGTGACTTTAGTCGAGGAGCCAACTCACTATTCTGTACCGGATTCACTTCGGTAGTGGAGGTTTTGTTTGTTAAGGCCTCAATCTGTTTACTCCGGTGGAGGTTAGTCGCCCGTTAGAGATTCAGATTGAGAGGGTCTGAAGACCTTTAGTCGAGACTTCAGGCTGTTTACGAACCTTCCGCAGTATAACTATCATAGAAATTGAACTTGGTAATTACAATCCGGCTTAACTGCAGTCTAGGGGGAACCATATCCGGGTGACCTCTTTTAACCTGAATACAACCGTTTACTTGCTTTGTTAGTTTGTTAGTCAAGATTTGCACTAAAGTTTCATTGCTAGATAACAAGAATTCACTGAGTAGTCATCAAATCTAGGACCCGGGTTGATAATTAAACCCAAACCCGCTATACTACGCTTTAGGAAGTGGTGGTTTCACTTGGCCAATTCCTGGAGTGACAGTAGAAGTGAGTCAGCATACCCCTCCTAAAGGTTGTTGTTGTGTTCTACTAACTACTAATTTCCTCTGTTACATCTAGGGGTGGTAACCGATTTTCCGGTTAACGGTTTAACCGGTAACCGTACTAGTAACTGACGGTAATCGGTTAAACCGTTAACCGGCAGTACCGGTATACGGTAATGAGATTTCCTCTCTCGGTATAGCGGCTCCCCGCCGGTTAATAACCGGTGGTAAATCGGTAATACCGAAACCTCTCATTGTAAATCTTCCCCCCCACCTCTCCCTCACTTCCCGACCTAATCTCTTTCTTCTCTGATCTCTCCCCTTGTCCGCCTCCTCTCTGATCTACTTCCACGAGCCTCTCTTCCATCTCAACTCCTTTCCCATCCCAAACCTCCCTCCACCTCTTCTTCACCGAGCAAGTCATCGATCCTCCTTCTTCTCCGGCCAAACTATCTCTTCTAAGTTATAATCGACTTCCATGGCGACGGTTCTTCCCACAGGGGTCGATTTTTCCAGAGGCGATTGCATGCGGCGGTTCTTCCCACGAGGGTTGATTTTCCCAGAGGCGATTGCATGCGGCGGTTCTTTCTCCCGACGATTGATTCTCCCGGATCGAGACGATTGCATGCGACGATTGATTTCCCCCGACGGTTGATTTCTCCCCGCCGTTGTCGCTTGGTCGGCTACCGTCTCACCGTCGCTTGGCGCGGCGGCGGTAGTAGTAGACGAGATGTGCTGCGGCGGCGGTAAGGGTAAATCGAGGCCAGTCTTCGCCAACCCGACCCCCGCCTCAAACGTGGCTCCTCCTTCGTCGATCTCTTATCTTCATCCTCTACTCCTCTATGTCTCCATCTTAGGTTAGAGCAAGTTAGAAATTTGATTTAAATTGTTTGTGTTAGCCGAATTTAGGTTAGGGGTTGAATTGAAATTGAAATTGTGGAATTGTTTATGTAAACTGTTAACAGGTCGGGAAGCTCGAGCAGAGGAATTGGCGAGTTGTTCCTTCCTTATCGTGCAATAGAGGAGCCGAGCAGTGTTGATTTATTCTCCCCCATCTCTCGCACGGTTACTCGGATAACTGGTTTCTAACCGGTAACCGTCTAACCGGTTAGCCGGTTAAGCGACAGGGAAACCGGTTCGGTAGTCGGCAGCCCCACACAGATTTTCGGTATAACCGACCGATTACCACCCCTAGTTACATTGGCTTCTTCCTCTTCGTCGACATTCCAATAAGGCAAATCCGACAAAGAGAGGAAGGAGAATCAACGGCGAATGAGATAATTAAGCGAATCTAAAAGTAAGAAATTGGCAACGGATGAGAGGAGATATACGAATGTGAGGGGAGATGAAGAAGAGGCGCTATTGTTGAATGAAGAAGGGGTTGCTTTTGTAAGAAATCGGGGAAGGAGTAAGGAAGAAAAAAGAAGAATGACACATAGGCACATTTGGAACAAAAAAGAAGAAAACGTAATAATATCAAATTACTAGGTAGAGGTGTATTATTCTTAACTAACAAAATGTGATAATCATAGCCAATTTCCATACAGTTTTTCTCTCCCAAATATGAATTTGTAACCTACTTACTGCATCCAAAATTCCAAACCACCCTTACTAAATTCACACGACTACCAATGTTGTTTTCACTTGGCTAAGGATTTTTGGAGGGCGAGGGCGGGCGGGGACAAAAAGTGAAAAACCGGAAGCTGAAACTGAAAGAAAGCCCGCTCTGCCGAAATGCATTTTGCCGTCAAAATTTTTTGAACCCGCGCCCATTCTTCTTTCTTTCCCCCTATTTGGATCCCGCCCTAACTTTCAGTTCCAATTCTCCCCCCACCCTCTCAAATCTGAAATCTTCCTCTCTCTCTCTCTCGCCACTCGCCAGTCGCATCTCAGTTCCCAGTTCCCAATCTTTCTCTCGCCAGCTGCATCTCGCAACTCAAATCTCCACCCGCAGAAACTCACGCCACACACAATTTGCTACCCGAAAGTCAAATTCCATACTTTCTCGCGATCTTCAAAAACCCTAACTTCTCTTAGGGTTTTTGTTCTTCTGGTTCCTGTAATTTCTCCTCCCTCTTACCAGGTTACTCTGCTTGCCTGATTCGGAGCTGCGCTCCATGGCGAGCGAAACCCTAGAGCAGAAAAAGCCGGAGGAGGAAGCCCCGGTAGAGGGCAAAGAGGATCCCAAGCTCGAAGTGGTGGAAGAGAAAGCCGACGACGATACGAAAGAGAAGCAGGAAGAGCAGGACGAGGAGATGAAAGAGAATGAGGAAGAGCAGGACGAGGATACGAAAGAGAAGCCAGAGGAAGTGGAATACAAACAGCTTGAAGACAAGAAGGAAGTGGAGAAACAGAAGAAAAACGATAAGGAAGAGGATGGAGTGAATGAAGAGGAGAAGGAAGAAGACAAGGCGGACCAACCGATTCAAGATAACAAGGAGGGCCAAAATTCCGAAGTTCCGCCTGAAAAAGTTGACGAAGGAAACGCGGATGACCCAGCAGAGAAAGATGGCAGAGACAAAAAGGAGAAGGCGGCGGAAGAGCAAGATGAGGATGCTGAGGATGTGGAGGAAGAGGACGTGGAAGATGAAGAACCAGAGAGTAATATAAATAAACAAGGTGAAAAGCAGACTCCTGAAGCCAGCGAGGAGAAGCAGAGTAAGGAATCCACTGACAGGAAAGAAGCTGTGACTCCAAGCAGTGAGAGGCCAACCAGGGAGCGGAAGATGGTGGAGAGATACTCTATTCCTGAACGAGGAAGGTCTTCTGCAAGCAAGCCATTATCAATTGAGAAGGTGCAGTCCTATCCTGCCTTCAACTCTTGTGGGGTGTTCACTAATTTGTGATTTCGTGCAATGATATGATCAAGTATTTCTCTTTGTGCTATGCAGGGCCGAGGGACACCTCTGAAAGATATTCCTAATGGTAAGTGTTGCTGCCCAATTGTTTGTTTGTCGACTGTTTGAACAACTTTCAAGTGAGTGAGTTTTTTTTGTTGGAGTGAGATTGCTATGACTGTTTTATAGTCATCTCAGTTGCTTCTCTCTTTGGATATTGTGATTCTTCTTCCAGTTGTAGATGTTTTTTAGTCCAGGATTGTACCTAGGGCTTTGATTTTGTGTCTTTTGGTGACAAGCTTTTCAAATCTCTATGGTTGATACCGATTTACTTATGGTGGTGCCAGTACCAGTTCTGGTGGTCTTAAGTAGTTACATTTGCTGATTGAGAGGCATGTACATCTTGCTGAAACTGTGGAATGTGGATGTGGTAAACTAGGAAGGTCATTTCAGTAGACGGAATATGCTGATGGATGGATTTACCACTATTTGCACTGTAATTGACTTAATCCATCATATTATCCGGTTATATTCATACTTATCCAGTTTGACTTTAGGCATTTGTCATAGAAAGATAATATAATGACTCACCATGCTCTTCTTGAACTTGATATGTTTTTAGAGGGGAGGAGAATGAGTGTCAATGCTTATCCAGTTTGAATCCAGACATTTGTCATAGAAGAGAATATAGGGACTTACCCTGATCTCCTCGAACTGGATATGTTTTAATTGGAGTGTTTTTTGTTTGTACATTTCCTGTTATTTTGGCTGTATGGCACCACAATCATTTACTTTTCTGCAAAAACCAAAAATTTAGGTACACTCCCAAGTAATGATACCTACTGTTGACTAGTGTTCTGGATGACAATTAGTTATTCATGAAGACAATTTTTTTTGCTTAATTGTTTGATGATATCCACTCTTTATCAAACTGTTTCAGTGGCCTTCAAGTTGTCAAAGAGAAAGGCTGACGAGACTCTGCAGGTCCTTCACACTTTGCTCTTTGGAAAGAAAGGAAAGGTGTGGCTGATTATAGTAGTCTGACTTGCTGGTTCTTATTTCTCTTGTCTTATTTGTAGGAGTGTCAGCTATCCTTATCTATGGTGTTGTGATTGTGTTAATTTTACTGTTTCTTAAGGTGCGAAATATGAAGCGAAATATTGGTCTATTTTCTGGCTTCATTTGGACCGGGAATGAGGTGTGTATCTATTGAGTTATACATTTAACTTAAAATTTGGGATAGAATTCTCTTTATGCGAAGGCTTAGTCTTAAGCTTGAAATTGATTGTGGTTTATGATTTTTTGTTCTCCCAATAGGAAAAACAGAAGTCAAAAGTTAAGGAGAAGCTTGACAAGTGCGTAAAGGAAAAGCTTATAGATTTTTGTGATGTGCTCAATATTCAAGTAACTAAAGCCACAGTGAAAAAGGTCAGTTGTGATTGGTAATGTTATTGCTTTCTTTTGGATACCTATAAATTCGTTGGTTGTCTGGAAATGTTTTCAGGAAGAACTCACTGTAAGAATCATGGACTTCTTGGAATCCCCACATGCTACAACTGATGTTTTGCTCGCTGATAAGGAACAGGTATTCCTTTCTTATAATCATTTGTCTGTTATACCTAGTTTGGGTTTCTTTTCCACTGGTAATAGTTGCTATCCTTTTGTTCTGTTCCAGAAAGGTAAGAAGCGAAGGTTGATCACTGGGAAGAATTCAAGCCCTGGTGAAGCATCAGCTAAGGTTAGTTTGTCTGTTCTTAATAGAGAACTTGGTACATTGTAGCTGTTAATGGGTTTGTCTTTGAAGTAATTTGTAATCTTGGTACTACCTACTGGTAGTAGCAGTAATAATTCTCTAACCAAAAGGTTGCTTCCCTTAGCTAGTTTTGTTGATTTATTGTTCTTTCTGATTCCATCTTCTCTTGCATGATCATATATACTAATGTTCGCGGCTGCTCAACTCATTAATGATTGAATTTTAGATGGTAAAACTGGGTCCACACCACTATTATAATGAAACTTCCTTGGCTGAGAGCACCACTATTCAGATCTTTTTGTTGAGACAACCTCAAACTTTGTGCATTGTTAATTGTCCATTATGCTGTTCGGATGTCAGTAGTTCATTCTTGTTCTTGGTCTGCAGTGGTCCTTCAGTTGAATGATTATTTTGACTTCCCTTATTTTTGCTAGTCAATTTTATCCAATTTTTGTCATGTAGAGGCAAAAACGGTCATCTCAGGCTGAGGAAAAGCAAAAATCCTCTCCCAATGTTGAGGAAGAAGATGAGGATGATGATAAAGATGAATCTGCAGATGCTCATGAGGACTCCAAAGGTGATGATGATGAGTCTCTGGCTAAAGATGAGAGTGATCAGGATGAGGATAAATCTAATGAAGATGAACCAAAGAAAGAAACACCGACTCAAAAGTCCTCATCTAAAAAAATTGCAAAGGATGCTACAAAAAGCAGGGAGAAAGCTACTCCTGGCAAGAGCAACACCCCTACAAAAAGTTTGGCAAGATCTAAGAAGTCATCTACTCAATCAGCGAAACCAAGTGCAGATACTGATGCAGGCTCTGGTTCAGTTTCTAAATCGAAAGGGTCTACATCTAGGAAACGCAAGGCTGAAGATCAAGACGTTTCAAAAACGGAAAATAGTTTGAAAAAGCAGACAGGCAAATCAACCTCGAAAACTTCTGCGAAAGATCAAGGTGGGTTGTGTGATATTGAGTTTGAGTATGCATGAGCTTCTCAATTTTTATGGGAAGAGAAAATGAACTGCTTCTCTTGCTGTTTGTTCTTTGCATCCATTGTTTTTGCTTACCTGTATATTTTTCCACTTGTTAAATAGGGAAAGGAAAATCTGGCAAGAAGTTGAAGGCTGAACCCAGCAGAGATGAGTTGCATGCAGTTGTTGTTGATATCCTGAAAGAAGTTGATTTCAATACAGTGAGTAGTCTTTGCCACTTAGTGTTTCAATCATACTCGATTGGTATCGCCCAGAATTGCATAGTGCCTAAACACCTCTCTTTTGCTGAAAATGTGCAGGCAACTTTGTCTGATATACTCAAGCAACTTGGTATGATCTTGTTCTGATTGCAGGCCCTTATCTCAGTTTATCTCTTTATCACTCTCCTAACCAGCCAGGTTATTCTTTGTGGCTGTACCAGGTAAGCACTTCGATGTAGATCTAATGCACAGAAAAGCCGAGGTGAAGGATGTTATAACTGAAGTTATAAATAACATGTCTGATGAGGAAGATGAGGGTGATGAGAATGCCGAGGCTGGTGGGGATGCAGACAAAGATGATGAAGATGATTAGTTAGGGCTTATAAGTTATATAGGAATTTCCCTCAGGATGCCAGATATGTCATGGAGCAATTTAAACAAGAGAGGCGGAAGGTAAAAACCACTGTTGACTGCAACCTCGGGACTTATCCCCCCAGGGGGGAAAAAAACATTAGCAGACTAGGGTTGTTTGTACCATATCCTAATTTGTAACTTCTGTCTTGAACAAGTAGTGGTGAGTTGACATTAGCTGAATAGTTTTGCTTGTTTGATGTAATTGTTGACTGTCTGTTCCCGCAAATGAGTAGTGAACCTAGTTGCGTAAAGTCGATATGGAGCTCTGCTTCAAAAGTTATGTTATGTGCTTTTGTAGTTGGTTGAAGCAGAAAGCACCTATTTTTTTGGGGATATAGACCTAATTGATTTAGGTTATTTTCTTAATGAGTTATGAATTGGTTCTTTTTTGTTTTCCATCTTTTCTTCCCTTGGAATTACAAGTTTTTTGCTTCAAAATTTGTGGTGGTTAATGTGAAAGTTTTGAAATCCTCGTTGATTTTATAGGTTGGCAATGGCAACGTGATTCTAGCTCGTGTTAATTTATTGTTGAGAGACCAAATTATTTTTCAATATTCTACCTTTTTTTTAATTAGCTTACATATTCTTACATATCTTTGTTTAGACCATGAATTAAACTGAGTTTGACATTTAATATTATACCATAACTTCTAATGGATAAATTCAAAACCCGGATTATTTATACTCTAACCTAAAGTTCAATTTATTGGAAAACAATAATTGATTGTTGAGATCGATCGTAGCTCATCAAAGTAAATCTAATGGATAGATCACTTGGAGTATACTACACTCATGGAGTATACCAGTATATATATATGGTGGCGTCTTCGGTGCACTCACTTTTTTTGGGTGCATTCAGTGCACTCGCATCATAACCGTCATTTTAAACATGCGATTTATGTCAAAATGATGTCAATCATCACTTATGATGTGATGAACCATAACGCACATGAATTTGCACAAAACCCATTAAAGATTTACTTTAATTTGAAGGATTTGTTGTTTAAAGATTTAGGGTTAGGGTTTACAATTTGGGGTTTAGGGATAGAACTTAAAATTGGAGGTCTAGGGCTTAGGGTAATCCGCTAATTAGCTGTTATCATATGTTATATCATCATATTACACTAATTCTAAAAATTAAAATTCAAAATCCGACACCTTAAGACTAGTTTTTGAGTTGGGTGCATGAACACACTCATTTTTTGTGAGTGCACCAAAGTAGTCACTAAATATATATATGGGGAGTTCTATGGTACCCAAGGTGAAATATGAGGTAATGCATACCTTGAGTAAGAAAACGCTTTCCAGAACTTGAATTGACTGATCTTTCAGACATGATACTATACTCTAACTCTTAAAGATCAAAATCTTGGTCTTAATTCTCTAAATCTTATTTCCCAAGATCAATTTAATTAGAAACAATAATCGACGGTCATGATTCGTCCAAATATAGGCAAAAAAATCAATGTACCATCTTAGAATTTATAGTTTATGATTTAGATAATTAGGACCTAGGGTTCACTCATTAAGGATTAGGGTATAGTATCATGCCCAAAAATCCTGCTAGGGGTGTGTGTATATATATATGGTGGCATATTCGGTGCACCACCCTCATAATTGTCATTATGAGCATGCGATTCATGTCAAAACGGTATCAATTGTTGCTTATGATATTATGAACAAGAAGCGCATGAATTTGAAAAAAAATCATTCAAAATTTACTTAATTGGAAGGATTTAGGATTTAGGGATTTAGGGTTAGAGTTTAGGTTTACAATTTGGGATTTTGGGTTGGGATTCAAAATTGAAGGTTAAGGAGTTATGGTAATAGATTGATTTGTTATGATTCTATGCCATATCATCACATTAGATTGAGAGTATTAATTAAAGTTCAAAATTTGTTATATTATGGACACTTTTAAAGTTAAGTGCGCCGAAGTAGTCACATATATATATATATATATATATATATATATATATATATATATATATAAATAAAGTGAGTGCGCCAAATACGCCACTATATATATATATATATGGTGGCTTCTATGGTACCCTGGGTGAAATCCGGGGTACCGCATACCTCGAGTATGGAAAATCTATCTAGACCTCGAATCACCAGGATTTTTGTGTCTGATATTATATCCTAACCCTTAATGAGTGAACCCTAGGTCATAATTATCTAAATCATAATCTATAAACCCTAAGATGGTGCATTTCTTTTTGTGCCTATATTTGGATGAATCATAACCGTCGATTATTATTTCTAATTAAATTGATCTTGGAGTATAATATTGGGAGAGTTAACACCTAGATTTTGATCTTTAAGTGTTAGAGTATAGTATCATGTCCGAAAGATCGGTCAGTTCAAGGTCTAGATAGTGTTTTCATACTCAAGGTATGCGGTACCCCGGATTTCACCCAGGGTACCGTGGAACTCGCTATATATATATAGTGGCGTATTCGGCGCACTCAATTTTTTGGGTGCACTCAGTGCACCCAACTCTAAAAGTGTCCATAATACATCAAATTTTGAATTTTAATTAGTACTCTCAATCTAATATGATGATATGACATAGAATCATAACAAATCAATCTATTACTCTAACCCCTTCACCTTCAATTTTGAATCCCAACCCAAAATCTCAAATTGTAAACCTAAACCCTAACCCTAAATCCTTCGAATTTAAGTAAATTTTGAATGAATTTTTTTTCAAAATCATGTGCTTCTTGTTCATAATATCATAAGCAACAATTGATACCGTTTTGACATGAATCACATGCTCAGAATGACAATTATGAGGCGGCGGGTGTACTGAGTGCACTCAAAAAAGTGGGTGCACCGAATACGCCACAATATATATCGGACCATTCTATTATACACTAGGCAAAACTGGTGGTATATCGTACACTAAGCCTCTCTGTCGTGCGATCCATCTCAACGGCCGAGATAATTTGCGGACTCTGATTTTGTGGATTTATAAATACAATTACTGTAACAGTCCCCCACAACCCAAGAACGTTACATTGTCATCCAATTCCGTCAGATGGCTGGCGAGGACGTACAAATCAAAAGTTATGTTCTGGCCAGACGACCCAACCCTCATATGCAAACCACCCAGCCCTTTTTTCCTCCTCTCGTAACGCATCCCTTCCTCTGTCCCGTGTTCTCTCTCTCTCTCTCTCCTTGCCTCCTCCATTTCGACAAACGATTCCACTTCAATCGATTCCAATGCCTGTCACGAACTTTGTAATCACAATCCTCGTTCTCTGTTGAATTCGATCCGAGCAATTACAATGCACAAAGTATTCTTATTTCGTCCCTCCATTCAATCAATCATTCGCCATCCCCGCATAGAGCACTTGGCCCAAATTGAGAGACATGGTACACCGGCCGCCTCTGTCTATTACACGATAGCACAAAGCAGACCACAAGTTGCAGTACGCACGCCATAAGTTCATTAAAGCACACCACATGACCAATAACGTACACCACAAGTTTATTATTGTATGCCACAAGTCACGTAGAGCAAACCACATGTTTATAAAATCACGCCACAAGTCTATTGTCTTCCCCCTTTGTTTATTAAGTTTTCCGTTCATGTTCCAGGTAGGTGTATTCCGTTCTAGGAACGTTTCGCCCGCAGGAAGAAGATGACCAAGAGGGAATTTCAATCGAATTGTGGCTACATAGTTATCTTAACTTGTGTTTGTGAAATAAACTACCCTATTGGGTTTAGAATATTGCAATATGATCTCGGATCCAATTACGTCTCTTGTGGGCTTAATGCATGCGGGGTTAATGGGCCAGGCACTGGACCATTCCAACTAGGGTTAAAATCTTAATGAATGTGAATTGGTTTTCGGATATTATGAACCTATTAATAAGGGATAAATTTTATGGAAAATGTAAGCAATATTTCATTTTCACTAGGTCGCGAAAGGATAATTCGTTGGGAAGGTAGAGACAGCAGAATAATCCAACCGCACCATAAGTTATGTAAAAGTACATCACCAGTATCCTAACCACACCACAAGTTACGTAAAAGCACATCACAAGTATCCTAAAGCATACCAAATATATCAAAAAGCATACCAAAAGTCTATCCATTGTAGTGCAAGTAAATTATTATGAGTCGAATCAGTGGCTGAGCTTTCAAGTCTATCGATTGTCCTAGTGCTATAGATAAGAAACCCTCATCTACAAACCACCCACCCTACCCTCTCTTATTCTTTTTTCTGTTTATATCCTTTTCACAGCCGTTACCCATTCGGCAATCTTGTCGAAATCGCATCCTCTCACTCTCTTTCATTTCTCATTGGCTTGCAGAGCTCTTTCTTCTAGAAAAGCATGGAAAAAGCTACCCACGGAAGGTCAGTGAGAGGTCCTATCCCTCTTGGAACCCTAAAAAGCTACCCACAGAAGGTCAGTGAGAGGTCTTATCCCTCTTGGAACCCTATCCTTTTGAACACCATTACCCATTCGACAACCCTGTGGAAATCTTATCCTTTCACTCTCTTTCATTTCTCATTGGCTTGCCGAATTCTATGGTGATATGAAGAAGCCCTACAAATATCCAGAGCTTCTTCACCCAGAAGACCGCAATCAATCTACCAACTGCCCTCTATTCATGGGCCTTCTCTCCTTCCTTATTTAGCTGGTCCGCTAGTTTCTCAAGTAGTGAAGTGGTCTCCTTTCTTCGTCTGTTGATGGGGAGTGCTCCAGAGGCGGGAAAGTGTCCTATCGACCAATTGTTATGGCAATCGAGTTAATGAGAAATTTTCCTGTCCCGGGAGCATGTCTCATCAAGGTTGGCGAATCGATATACCAACTACCCTCTATTCCTGGTCCTTCTCTACTTCCTTATTTGGCTGGTCCGCTAGTTTCTCAAGTAGTGAGGTGGTCTCCTATCTTCATCTCTTGATTGGGAGTGCTCCAGAGGCGGGAAAGTGTCCTAATCGACCGATTGTTATGGCAATCGAGTTAATGAGAAATTTTCCCGTCCCTGGAGCATGTCTCATCAAGGTTGGCGAATCGATCTACCAACTGCCCTCTATTCCTGGTCCTTCCCTCCTTCCTTATTTGACTGGTCCGCTAGTTTCTCAAGTAGTGAGGTGGTCTCATCAAGGTTGGCGAATCGATATACCAACTACCGTCTATTCCTGGTCCTTCTCTCCTTCCTTATTTGGCTGGTCCGCTAGTTTCTCAAGTAGTAAGGTGGTCTCCTATCTTCATCTGTTGATGGGGAGTGCTCCAGAGGCGGGAAAGTGTCCTAATCGACCGATTGTTATGGCAATCGAGTTAATGAGAAATTTTCCCGTCCCTGGAGCATGTCTCATCAAGGTTGGCGAATCGATCTACCAACTGCCCTCTATTCCTGGTCCTTCCCTCCTTCCTTATTTGATTGGTCCGCTAGTTTCTCAAGTAGTGAGGTGGTCTCCTATCTTCTTCTGTTGATGGGGAGTGCTCCTGGGGCAGGGAAGTGTCATAATCGAACGATTGTAATGACAATCGAGTTAATGAGAAATTTTCCTGTCCCAGGAGCATGTCTCATCAAGGTTGGTGAATGTATAGTGTAATTGCATTGCTTTGACAACAAAATTGGAGTTATCGAAGAGCAACTTCGGCGA